ACTCACCACATAATAACAAGGGAGAACATTTGGCAGTGGAGCCATCTCTGACACCTCACAGCAAAGTAGCAGTGACATGGGGAGAGACGCTACTTTGGTAAGAATGTTCTTCTGCTTCACAGGTCAGAAACTGGCCTGTACACTGAGACAGATGCTTCCAACAAGGGTGATCAGTTTGATTTACAGTCAAGCCAATCCTAGTGAAACTGTCTCACTCCAGTTTCAGGGCTGAATGACATACCAGTGAGCTTTGTTTGTCTTGGTCAGCCCATCTTTGTGGAACGTGCAGAGAGCAGTGTGGTACATCTGTCAGACTTGTTAGCTCCCCATCCAGCGGGGTTTGCATAAGAGGATTCCTCTGTCATGTCATGGTCTCATGACTGTGAGATGCTTTCTGCTCCACTACTCTGCAGCCCATTCATCTCTCCTGCCAGGCCTCAAATCCTGCTGTGTCCAGGAGAACAAAATGGGTGTGAGAAATTCCCAGTGCAGGAATCTGCACACTGGGGGAGTATGTCTGCTTTTCTTATTCTTCAGTAGAGCCAATATCATTAGTGGGGAGCTGCAATCTCTATGCATATTCCTGTTTGAAGAATTCAAAGCTGGACAGCAGGCATTATTTAGCAAAGTTGATTGTGGAGCTACACAACTTTATTTCAGATCAGTCTATCTATCTGTCTGTCTCCCTTTTCTAATGCAATGTGAACACAGTTTACCAACTCAATCATATTAGGTGACCAAAGAAATTAAACCTAATAACACAGGTGACTTGTATCCACTCCATTTGCAGAGTCTCCCTGATCTGATGGCCAACCACAATGTATTCCCCAGCCTTTTTGTCTTTGCCTGTCTCTCTTCCACCACACAGGAGAAGCACAAGTTTCTGTACTGCTCTGAACTGTAATCATAGGAAAACATAACTGTTTAGGAAAAGAGCAAAAATGTGCTGCAATCTTTCTAAATTCCACTGTTGTTGCATGTGAATTCATCCCAGTGAATCACACCACCTGCGATGTTTTGCAGATGAGGAGTTCCCAGCACTGAGGCCAAGCTGAGTAGCAGGAATTTCTTGCTCCTGAGTCTCACCAAAATACAAGCAGATTCTGGTGTAGGACACACTGCAGGCAGGAACATCAGTGACATGTTTCTTGTTTGTGAATAACTGGAAGCAAAACTAGATAAACAGAATCAGTGACAAAAAGCAGGTTCTCTGGAGGGAGTGCATGCACAAGCATTCTTCACAGTTTGGGAGAAGACATACAACACTGCTCTGCTTTCTGACACGTAGCACACTTAAACTTCGTCTGACTCGTGGGGAAACGCATCCCTGTCATGCTAGACTGTCATGAGGTAGGGTGCAGAGAAATCAAGCTTGCAGTAACCCAACTGGTACTTCCACACAGTCCACTTTCCAGCAGAGATCCTGGTTGGCAACCTCAAATGGTGCAGCTGTGTTCAGGCCTGATTTTTCAGATGTGACCTGAGAATACGAGTGAGAATGCTTTTCCAAGTAACAGACAGCAATGCTGAACTGCAGAGAAGAGCAGGTGGAAGGTGGCTGTGGGGCTGCTGAGAATTTCATTTGCTTCTCTGTGATTTTTCTCATTTGTTTGCGTTAGGAGTGCTGATGTGGGAGGTCTTCAGTGAAGGTAAAATCCCCTATGAGAATCGCACCAATGGAGAAGTGGTGGAAGAAATCAATGCAGGATTTCGGCTTTACAAACCCAAACTGGCCTCCAAGGCGATATATGATGTCATGAGCCACTGCTGGAGGATGGTTAGTATTGTAATGGGTGAGCCCTAGTTCCCAAAGACAAGAGACGTCTTCCTCTTGGCTTTTAGGAGAGTTATATGCCTCACATGCTAACACAAGATAAAAGTCTGGAGTTAAAGCACTCTGTAACTTATATCTGCACTAGCAAGAAAAGTCTAGGCTCTTTGACTTTCAATTAAGCTGCTGTTTCTATGGAGTGTGTTGACTCACTGAGAAGTCTCTGTAGTGCACCTGACTCAAGTTAATTCAAGTTTGCTTCCTAAGAAAGCTGCGTATCTCTGGGGCTGAGCTTTAACAGTCATGGTAAAAATGACAGCCAACACATTACAAGGTACTGGATGTCCACTAGGTAAAATTCACTGCTAGTAGAAAAGAAACATTGCACAGAAGGAAGCTCATTCTTCCACTGGCATTTTCTCTATAGCAATAGATTGTATTTTTGTTAATAGTTTCTTCACAAGGTTTTCCTTCCTAACCTTGCCATTCCTCTCAAGCTGACACTGATGTTCTTCCTCTCTCTTCTCTCCCCTGCTCAGAGGAAAGATGAACGGCCATCCTTTTCTGTTCTGCTGTACCAGCTGAGTGAAATCTCTGAGTTTGATCTGTAATCATGGCACCAGCCGTTAAGCAAAGCCGAGAGAGTCCTGAGAGGGCAGATGGCTGGGTTTTCCCCACACAAAGCATTAACAGGAATCCTCTCATCATAGACACTTGCCATATGCCTGGGGACAAGGAGAGGGCAGAGGCTGGTACTTCCAGACAGACAAGATATCCTCAGGTCTTCCAGAGCCTAGACAGTCACAGGCTTGGGTTTGGCCAAGGATGTGGTTTGCAGCTTACCAGCAGAACCAGCAACTGAGCACATTCCAGCAAGTGTATTTCTCTTGAAGATACAGCCTCAAAACTAAGAGATCCAACATTGCTATTCCAGTTCTGTGAACTCCCAAATTATGGTCTTTCCTGGCGAAAAAAACCCTGCCTTTGACTGAGGAAGAACATTTAGACTTCTCCATGGCTCTCTCATTCAGAGTGGGCTGGACCTGCAAGCTCTGAACAGGAATAAGCTTGGGACACAGGGGAACAGGCTGGATTTAGTGACTGCATTTCTGATGATGTATTTCAAGGTGGTTTTGTACTCCATTTGCCTGTTTTTCTCCGAATCTGTGGCATACCAGGAACAGGACTCTGGTACCCGGTAAGCTGGGTCTGCGTGTTCATGTGAGTTTGTGAGGAAGGAAGAGAAAAAGCAACGTGTTGAAGAGCTTTGAAATTCTCTCAAATTGCATTGTATATTGGGAAAATGGGACCCTGATGCAAAAGGTCACATCGTTGGGGTGGGGGGGTTAAAGTTGCAAGTTTGTGCTAGTTTTTAATTTGGTTTTTCTACATCATAATATCAATACGTGATCTCCATCCAATTTCTTTGAGCTGAGTACAGAGGAATGAGCAGTGCAGAGTACTATGTGTCTCCAGGGCAGGACAAGACAGGATTCCAGGACCTGATTATCTGTGAAAGGTACAGGAACCTACTCCCAAATTCCTGTGTTTGGAAGGAAGGAACTGGCGGGCTCAGGACAGCCGTGAGGAGAGGACGTGCAGAATATGTACTCAGTGCACCACTGATAATGAAAAGTTTTCTCCTACTTCAAAGAGTAACTGAATCACCACAAGTAAAGACTTTTCCATCTCTACTGTGAACAATCCTCTAGGAACTGATCAAGGACAAAGTCCTAATTGAAGGGTACTTACACCATGAGGAGTTGCACATTATGTGGTGACAGCAGAAGGGGGTATAAACAATATCCAGGTCCTGGTACTTCCACAAAAATCTATATTTCACCGCAAGACAGAGTCACTGTTATGACATAATTGACCTCAAAATCAAAAGTGTGGATGTTATTGTCCTGCAGAATTTGTAAATAAGATCAGGACTTTCTGCTTAGCATTAACGATAACTAGAGAAGTCAAGAGGATTCACAGACGGTATGTGCATATATGCAGAATTTTTTTGATGCTTCTCTCTCTGGGCAAGCGAGAACATGGGTAAACCTTATGTGACAGCAGTTTACAAAAACTCTGGGGTGCAAACTTGCAGCAGCAATCTCATAGAATCATAGAATCATAGAATGGTTAGGGTTGGAAGGGACCTTAAAGATCATCTAGTTCCAACCCCCCTGCCATGGGCAGGGACACCTTCCACTAGACCAGGTTGCTCAAAGCCACATCCCGTCTGGCCTTGAAGACATCCAGGGATGGGGCATCCACAGCTTCTCTGGGCAACCTGTCCCAGTGCCTCACCACCCTCTCTGTGAAGAATTTCTTCCTGATATCTAATCTAAACCGCCCTGATTTCAATTTATACCCATTCCCCCTTGTCCTATCACTACAGGCTCTTGTAAAAAGTCCTCTCCCCGTACCCTTGTAGGCCCCCTTCAGATACTGGAAAGCTGCAATGAGGTCTCCTCGGAGCCTCCTCTTCTCCAGGCTGAACAAGCCCAGTTCTCGCAGCCTTTCGTCATAGGAGAGGTGCTCCAGCCCTCTGATCATCACCCCTCTCTCCCGTCATTACAGAAGTCGGGTTCAAATATGTTTGCCAACAAAAATGGAACAAGGAAATAATGTAGTCCCATGATCTCACATATTCTGTGTCAAACTTTCTTCATATAAGGAGTCTTGATTTTTGGTATTTTTCAAACCCATGGTTCTAGGATAGCTTTTACTAGTGAGAATATATTTTCAGGTATATAGATATGGGCAAGGCATTCATTCCTGCCTTATACATCATCCCACGTTTCTTTGATTTCACACTATTTTCTTTGGTTTACCTCTACAAATATTATGCAGAATGGCCCTTCCAGGCAAAGAGCATCCTAATGTTCAGACTTGTGGTTGTCAATCCTAAATGCAAGATCAGAGTGCTACCTTCAAATCAGGATTGCTGCTGATGTCTCTTGGTAGTATGTGGAATATGAGCACCTATAAACAGATTTTGAATATTTGCCTGCAGTGAATTTAATCTGAGTTTCTCTTTGTCCCTCTCATCCTTTAGTCTGAGTCAGGCTGTTGTCACATTCTGGTGATGCTGAATTTGGCATTTAGCTGGTGAAGTCTTCAGTAGCCCTAACCACGTTAAACTGCACAGCTACAGTTAAATTTGAGGACAGCTGGTTGTAACCCTATTTTCTCTCCCACTCGATGCACTTAGACAATCCAGACAGCCACAGGATGCTCTGAAATGATTCTTCCCTGAGCACAGACACCCTGTGGCAGGGGTATCTTCAGGCTCACAAAGTTAAGCTTCTGGCTTGCTGCCTCCTCCATCCTGGGAGGAACCAGGGGTCTGTCGAATTTGAGGAGGTTGCTATTAAGTAGCAGCACTATTGCTTCGCCAGGTAACATTTCGAGACTATATTTATATTTGGATAAGTAATATTTATTAGCTAGAAGGTATTGCACAAAATAATATTGTGAAGTTTTATGTTCAGTTTTCTTTTGCAGTATTTCTATGTACACAATACATATTTTTACAAATAATAAAATCACTGAGTCCCAGCTGTGGCTTTCACTACACGTTAGCAAAAATGAAAAACCATCCTCATGCACTTGTCATTATACAGCTTGCTCTTCCTCCAAATCGTCCCCACCAAGAAGCAAACAGGCTGCTTCTGGCTTTCTGAAATATCTCTGTTCCCCAGAACTGTGACTGTGTTTTGGGGCTGGATTATGTGCTGGGTTTATGGAGGTGGGAGTTACTCAGAATCTCTGCAAATCAGGTGATTTACTGTATGTACACATTGATGTTTTAAGTCTAAACATCCATTGAGGTGGCTTTAAATTCTCTGAATCTTCATAAAATTGGCGTAGTAATATTTGAGTGCTCCTAAAGGGTGTTTCCCACAATTATTTACAGGGGATCCCACAGATCTCAAAAGGCCAGTGCCAGGGTGGTAACTGTGTGCTCTTGATGCACTGTAAGAGTCTTCTCCCACCATAGCCATTTCTAGGGCAAGTTTAGGCCTGTGCCCTCCACGTGGCTTAACTGTAGGTGTTCTCCACAAAGCAAAGGTGAGAGTATCAGCCATCTCCTGCTGCAAGGTGAACAACCCTTCTCTGAATACCCCTTCTCAGGCTCCTTGGAAAGTAATTGCAACGCACTGTTTAAACCATTCCCCCGTTGCCAGTTCAACCCTCCTTGCTTGGCTGTCCTGCAGAAAGTAGGAGTTGTGCCCCTATTTTTCCCTCCTGCTTATCAGGTGCTGGGTGCACAGCTCTGCCTACGTTGCACATTTGGCTGGGACCAAGGCCCAGAGCACTGTCCCAGCACGTCCCCAACCTGCTGCTGTGACGGCTGAGTGTCCCAGCTAGGAAAAGACATTCAAGCAGTAACCTTGAAAGAGCAGCTGAGGCTTCTCCGTGGAGGCCAGGGGCTGGAGTGCAGGAATGTTAGCCATGAAAAGCTCTTTCCTGGACATATGTTGGTCACCCTGGGAAAGGCAGAGTTGTGGGTGCTTGTTCCAATGGATAATTGCCTTAAAATGAGGGCTGAAAAATTCAGAATTTCCTGAAACATGTTTGAATGAACATGTTTCTGTGTGATATTTGGGTTTGTCCTCCCTGAACGCTGCTCTCTACATGGCAGGGTTCCGGTGGGTGGTTCTGCTAAACCCCACTTGGCAGTCACTTCAAATTTGTGTGTGTTCTGCTCAGCTCACCCCACTGTCGTGTTATCTCTCCCCTCCACACACAACCAGCTGAAGCACCCACTCCTGCACCCGTAGCTGCATGGGGCCTGCCCCTCGCTGCCATTCCTCCCAGGCTGCAGAGAGATCTGCAGGACAAACGCAGAGCAGTTCATTCTGTTATTCTATGACCTGAGACAACACAGAGCAGAAAATTAAAATAGTATGATAATGTTCATGGAATTCCCAACCCCCTGAGCCTGGCTGACAATGGGGGCAGATTAAACTGTGCAAAAAAAAAGTCCACAGCAGTTTTCACTGCCACGGTTTTCTTGAACTGACCTTGTTTCATCTGTGGCCTCAGACCAATATTAGCTGTTAAATCTTTTGGATCTGCGGTAACAATGCTCACTTACTGATCTTTCCTGACAAGCAATAAATATTAAAAAGAGAAATGATGCCTAGAAAATGTCCCAGTTAGATAGAAGAAATACTACTCAGGGGAAGGAGAAGAGTCTACTCCCAGGGATGGGATAGATTTTTTCAGGTGTGATCCTGTCTATTAAAACAAAGTTTTTTTCCAAGACTGTCTTGTGCTTTTGTAGCTTGCGGATCCTGGTGCCTTCAGCCGATGGCATCCGTTCAGACTCTAGTAGCACGATGGTGTAAACCTGGTGGCCAAGCTTCCTTGTGGAGCCAACATATACCCATGGGAACAAGCCCCACACAACAGAGGAGCAGTCTCTAAGCGATCAGGAGTGGTTAATGCACGAAGGGCCAAATGGCAGTGCATTTGCAGCATAGGCTGATGCTCAGGAAAGGGACATTGCCAGGGCCACCAAGGAAATATATCTAGGCCTGTGTCTAGATTCCCAACAATCTCTGGGTAGCCAGCCATGTCTTTCAACAAGGAAACGGACAGCAGCGTC